AAGAAGAAGAAGAAGAAGAAGAAGAAGAAGATTGACAAGGAAAAGGAGAAGACGCGACCACTGGGAAAAGAGCTTTATATTCCTGACGATTTGGATTCCCTTGGGCGTCCTTAGTCATAGGTTATGGTAGCATACTCTTAGTCATGTGCAGATAGGGGTGAAACATGCACAAGTTGCACGGTATTTATAATTCATAGCGGTTATCTGCGTGCGTACTATAATTATCCACTCCTGTAGCCACAGCTAAGGTCTTAACTGGTGCGATTATGGCTTGGCACATCGCGGTCGACTAATTAATTGCCGTGATTTCCTTGTCCGTGTTGGATACGGGCTTGGTAATTTCGCGACAATTATGCTCGTTGTCGTCAGAGTTTCTTTCTGCTGGGCCCGGCCATTCCCACGTGACTGATTCTCTTGCTCAGGCAATGTCTCAGTACGCAGTATGGGAATGCTATATCGTTGCGCTTGTTGATGGACTGGGTCCTGAGAACCATGAATCGAGCAGCTCGCGGCTCACGCGGTTGTCACCTCTTGCGAGGATTTCAGCCCCGTCAAACTTTAAAAGTTGGGTTGCGTGGTGGTCGCTTGGTCGCGTCCTATGGTCGCGATACATCCAATGGATGGTCGCGTCTTCTTCTTCTGAACTGCTTCCTATTGGCAAGGTGATATTTGTCGCAAAAACTCAGTCCCGCGTCTCCTGTATAGAAGAAAACGCCAGAAAGCCCCGGACAAAATGGAACAATTTGCAATGTGATTGATGATTAACCACTAGGAAGCAGTGTGGCCCTAAGTAGCTGCCGCTTGAGGCTTTCAGCCAGTCAACTTTCAAGATGCTCAATTGCATTCCTTATATCTCCGCAGTGCAAGACTTCAAAATTCTGTCCATGCCCCCCATAAATCATGTCAGTTGACGATACTGGCACTTACCATGTTCTCTAGAAGGTCGTTTCTCGGCGTCGTCTGGTTTAACTGGTGGCTTCTCGCTGACTTTGCTTTTTTGATGTTGTCCATTCGGATCTGACTCCGGAGTTGGGTTCTAAAAAAGGAAGACCTCCCCGTCAGTATCATAGATCTTTCACGCGGTGGCTGAAAACCAGATCTTTGGCAAATTCAAATTTTTAGAAGAGATAACTTCTCAGAATCTACCAAACTTAAAAGTATCGTCAACAGATCTGAGTTGAGAGTAAGATGGAGTACGTATATACCATAGTAAAATTGATATTCATCAACGGTGTCCACTTTGTGTAGAAACCATCATGGTCTTGGGAGTCAACAATTGCGTCATTCAGGAATTCAAATACCCGCAGTCAACAATGAAGCGAGTGATGAGTGTCTATGTTTAAGGCAGATCCTTAACAGACTCTTATAGATTTTCAGTTTATAATAAGGGAGTTTTGACACCCATTTAAGGTTTACCAGTTCCCCTAAAAATATTTGTCTTTCAGGAGTGACCTTTGTATCTAAGGTCGTCTAAATAGGACGATATCCATTTTTTCCATAAGTAGACCTATATAAACAAGCCTGTTTTAAAGCAGTTCTTCGGTCGATATGCAATTGCGTGCTTTATTTTAAGCGGTCGCGTATCGTTTAACGAGAGTTTGATCGTGAAATGATCCCTGCCAAGCAGATTAAAGGTACTAATCCACACTGGAGACCTCAGCCTTCTGAAGATTTCGTGGTCAGTGGGGCCTTCTTAGTCTTCATCTGGTCATGAAAAGTACTTCCACGCGTACGGGATCACTTTTTTTACCTACAAGCCGGAGATTGTCTATGAATTAAAATAAATTGCTCATGACTCCATTGGAACATTTTAGGCACTGCTACCCTGCGGTTCAAGGCTGCTACAAGGAATAAAAAAGGAGAGACGTAATTATGGATGTTTTCGTGAAATGTAAACAAACGGCCATTTCTGACTTCAGGAGACAATGTTGCTGCCCTAAGAACCCCGGTCTACCTCAAGCACATTATCCGTCTGACTTTTTTGATTCAAGATGGGATGTCGACAAGGCCGAAATAGAATATAGTAGCCATCGCTGGCTTAGTAGCGGTTGCCAGATAGTGACACCCAAGCTGCAAATCGGATAACATGGGATTCGAGCCCAAGTCCTTGGGCAGCAAATGACCAAACGCTCTTCAATTGAACAACGGACTTTATTTTCTGGCGATTGAAATTCGGAGGATTCGATACCGGAGAGTGGAAGTTTAAGATATAGTCATCCTCTTGCACCGTGAGTCATCTTACGCTCTTCACGGGCAGCGACTAGAATGTTGATGGAGACAAGAGAGTCTGCGATGATATTTCCGACAAAGATAGTCTATCGTGTCTTTGCGAGCAGTACTGTCTACAAGCTGTTGTGGCTGTCAGGTCCTCTGTGAGGCCCAAGGCAGAGCGGGACAGATGAGGTTCGTTAGCGGTCAGGTGAACTTTCATCAATGAGAGTCTGAGATGCAAAATTCCAACCTTCTGACCGTAGTCAAACGGCCATACCCTACTACATGGTCTGGGATTCGAAAATTGGACCTTCGGTCAATGGGCATTGATAAGGCTAATGCTCTGTCACTGTGTCATCTTAACTGCTAGCAATCATGCGGCCATCTAAATGACCTCTGATCGCTAAAGTTCAACTCGAAAAATAAATGTCTGCATAGCCAACAAATCTCTCACCACCAGCCCTAGCAACTCCCCTATCCGCAGGGCCACCAGCACTAGTAGCCTCGCCTCCTCAACCAACACTACAGTCGTCAGCCTATGCTGCCCTCATTGTCACCGCACATACATATCACGCATCGGCCTTGTCAGTCACATGCATGTTCATCGCACAGAGGCCGGCTAAATCAGTAAATACAACCCTTATGTGGCATTGTACATGCTGCTTAAATGTTCAATAACCCGGTGCACACGGTGCGTGCAAACACCTACGAGTAGAATTGCTACTGGCAGTAATAGCGATCAGTTCATTATCTATATTTCTTGATGAAAATATCTCAGAATTAATTATTTCTGGTCGCAATGCGATCTACTGCGTTCGTTCTAGAGCCCCAAACGGACCAAAGAAACTAATTTTGGTCTTGCGCTCAGGATGGGTCGGTTAACACTATTCATGCGGAACTTTCCAAGACGCTGCATATTTTCATATCTGTTAGCTCAGTCAACTAATCAGGATGTATTGCAGTCGGACTGTATTACAACCTGTTATAGGTACTCAAATTCAGCCCCCAAAAACGGGCCGCGTAGTAGATAGGATAGAACAACACAGGGACCAGATCAAGGCACAGCAGTTGTTATTCGGATTTATGCTAATGTCTCAGATGATAAATCCGCGACGGATTTCGAAACGTCAGGCGAATAAAAGTACTGTCCCAGAGATCGAGTTGTCTTCGTGTCAATTACTTCCTGGGACTTGTATGTTCGCTTGTATTGGCAATCGTTTGAACTGTTGCGTACCGAAACTATGCCCCAGAGAGTAAAATGCAACGGGAAGGACGAAACTGCACTGCTCTCAAGAGCGCGCCTCGCTAATTTCCTACTGTGAACTCTAGGAAATGGGTATTAGAAGTTCAAAATAACCCTTCACTCTTGATGGTATTTAGGCCCAGGTTCGGAGCTGAACTAAAGATGTACCATCAGCAGCACCAAAGGGTGTTCTGTCGGACGACGAGTAGAAAATTGGTCATAGAAATGCTTGGGTGCACTCGTTATGTGATTATTACCAGAACAACAAGCAAGGGACCGATTGTCTGCAGCGCAAAGTCACTGCAAAACGTTTCATTCTAGGATAAGGCGTCTCGTACGCCGGAGGGCGACAGTACGCTATTTGGGTCTAATACGTTTGTTGTGGCATGTCTGTCGTGGTGGTAGACCTTTGTGTCACGGCGGCATCGTGTCTGAGAGACAGAGTCGCCAGCAGTCAGATTGCAAGCGCTTTCTTCTGTCTGACAACTCCTTACGCACACTTCTTGGCACCAGCCAAGAATGACTAGGATTGTCTGCTCTGGTGTTGAAACACACACTCGCGTTTACACGTGCGTGGCGGCAAGCCCCACTGACATTTACAGACTGACCCGCGTACCTCAATACCTACTTATTACAGGACATTGGATCGCTCATCTGCTGGGCCTCTTGCCTATATCCTCACGGTGGAAGAAATTTTATGGTGCAAGAAAATCCTGTAGACGGATTTATCTAATGTGCTGTTAGGCAGCAACAGGAGGAACAGACGTTTGAATCCAAGATGATTGGTTATGTTTTATGAGGACTGCTCGGGGTGCCATGCGCTATAGACAGCTTGAGGTGTCGCAGACGTTCAGCTTAACCCTCTGTGCCAGACAGGCACAGGCCAGTGACCAATCCGACATAGAGAAGACTTACCGGTGGAGACGACGAAGACTGGAATTGAAATATTGTTTTCCCGGAAGAAATTTCAGCAAGGTGATAAAATCATTCCCTCTCACGCCTCCCAGCTCCCCTTAGGAGTGACTGCTTCCCCGTCCTCTGCCCCCCCCCACTTCAACACGTCCCACAGGCTTTCATGAACATGAACTGTCATGTTGGATAAGTGAACTAAGTTGCATTCTGAGATGATATGATGAAAAGAAAGATCTTCGGAAAACCAAGTTGTACTCGTTAATTTACGAACAGGTACCACTTGTTCGTCGTTAGACCAAATGAAAAATGAGGGCTGTGAATGTG